AATACTATACCGGTCCGCGATAATATTTTACAAACGTAACCAGTCCGTGGTGTAAAAAAGGTTGGAGACCCCTGTATTAACTCATTCAAAAAGTTTAAAAAAATTCTAAATGCAATGTTATTTTGTCTCTGTTCAAAAGTAATCTCTGAGGTTTTACCATGGTTTCTTCAACCATCTGGAGATTTGGGTCCTAAGACTCAGATGACAGAAATGTCACTAGTCTGTTTAAAAAAAAGTGAACACATATTCTAAAGTTTCAGCTTCATATAAGGCTTTATGAGTCAGTTACAGACTCAGCTGTAGGGTCAACGCTTTTATGTACAAGGGCACTTCTTCCAAAACATGAAAGCATGATGGCATAATATATACAAACACCTAACTGTCAGAGCGCCGTGAGAGGACTGACTCACCTGCCCCATTACTGTGAGGAATAAGACATCATCACCACACCTGCTCTTCAAACAAACAAACTTCAGCTACTGCTATTTCTCAAACAGGTGCAAAGCAAAACATGTAAAAACGTCAGACTATACTCATTTTTCAAAATCTATCAACAAATGCTTTTGAAAATATAAAGACGCCAATAGTCAGGTAGGTGTAGTTGCACAATCCTTGGAAGATAACAACTACAACAACGGAGGATTGAAATAACAAACTTTCTTTTAAAAGCAGAGCTTCATTGCATAAGCAAAGAAACTAAAATTTGTAACTGTTCAAACATATTCAAAGCTAAGCGGTTTTCAAACCCTGTAACACATTCTCTACAAATCCTGAGGCGTTCACCATAGCTTCAACCATGATGCCATTTAAGTCAATAGAGTGATTCATATCTTCATATCTGTTAAAAGGTCACTTCCTCTTTCTTATGGTGTTTATAGGGGAACAGAAAGTGATGAGTGAAAGTCAAAATCATCAAGGGCCATTTCCTGGGTATTTAGTGGAGGAGGATATGCTAGAGAACTGAGACATCTCGCATCATCCTCAGTTAATGCAATAATCTTTAGTATAAACAGATTATCTACTCAAACGCTGATGTGCATATCTCAGTCTAAAAGGTGAGAAAAAAAAAGATGTCTTTGGTTTTTGAACAACCTCACATTCTTTCAACAGCAGCCTAAAAGGAATAGTTCACACAAAAATTACATTTTTGAATGTCCTCATACTCAAATCATCCAAGATGTAGATGAGTTTGTTTTTGCACGGGAATAGACTTAGAGAAATGAAGCATTACATTACTTGCTCACCAATGGACGCTCTGCAGTGAATGGGTGCCGTCAGAATGAGTCCAAACAGCTGATAAAAACATCACATTTATTTTAAACTGTTTTGGACTGTTATAGCTTATAAACAGCGCTTGATCTGTGCAAATTTCTCTCCTGATTCAGAGAAGACGACTGGAAGCAACAGTTTAAAGTAAAAATGTCTTAATTTTGAATTAATTTTTTTACAAACACACAGTTTTTCACTTCACAAGATGTTAACTGATGGACTGGAGTGGTGTGGATTACTTGTGGATTATTGTGATGTTTTTATCAGCTGTTTGGACTCTCATTCTGACGGCACCCATTCACTGCAGAGCATCCATAGCTGAGCAAGTGATGAAATGCTAAATTTCTCCGAATCTGATTAAGAAAGAAACTCATCTACATCTTGGATGGCCTGAGGGTGAGTACATTTTCAGCAAATTTTCATTTTTTTCAAGTTTACTCACATCCTCAATAATATCAAGTCAAAATAAAACTGACCTGTTGCCTTGTCTATTTTCCAATCATTTTGTTAAATCTCACTGCCCAAATACGAGTGTGCGTGCATTTATGCCAACAAAATAAACAGAGGAAAAGCATATCAACTACCATCAATGACAGTAAATAAGCTATTTTGAAAACTCACCCTTTGCTCTTTCCTTTAAACCTTGATAACATTTGCCACCCATGTTGCAATATTTCCAAGCATTTAAAAAAAAAAAAAAAAAAGCACATCAAACATCCTTCAGTTCTTTCTGCATCTTCGTTCCCTAATCTGTGCTGCACTAAAGTTAAAGTCTACGTAATACAAAAGAAAACCCATTTACACTGTAATATAATAGTAGTACTAGTAATTTTGCTTCATTAAAACCAGCATTTAGTGCATCAATTCTAAAAATCCGCTAAATAATTTGGTTTAAACTGCTTAATTGTCATTAAAACAGTATTAGAATAAATTTAAAAAATCATAAATGTGACCCTGGACCACAAAACCAGTCATAAGGGTCAATTTTTCGAAATTGAGATTTATATCTCATATATTATGTTTGTTAGGATAGGACAATATTTGGCTGAGATACAACTATTTGAAAATCTGGAATCTGAGGGTGCAAAAAAATATATATATATTGAGGAAATGGCCTTTAAAGTTGTCCAAATTAAGTTCTTAGCAATGCATATTACTAATCAAAAATTAAGTTTTAATATATTTACAGTAGGAAATTTACAAAATATCCATACAGGCAGGAGTACTGTTGCCACAGCTCCACGAACCTTTCCTCCATCTCATAATTCTACGTCACCAATGTGACAGAAAAAAAATTAAACATGCTAGTCTTTCTGTCGTGATGTCGTGAAGCATCGCAGACGCGGAATCGGTTGTCGTCCACTACGACACACTACACGAGCTGAAACGATGGAATCTTGCGTCCCGACGCCCATTGTCCTTTACGAATCCCCACGACACCCTACGTCAAGCAAATCGTGGCAAAATCAGGCTAAAATCGTGTAGTCTGAACCGGGCATAAAACCCTACACAAATATAAATATAAATGTGTACAATTTTATCTAAACCTGTATAGTTTAAAGGTCCATCTCAAAACTTCTCAAAAGCCTGCCAAGAATGGTGACAGCATGTATTCAGCACAGAATGTACAGATTTTTCTTGGATTCCTACTAACTGCTGACAGTAAACAACGTCCATATGCAGCATAACATCATGCAGATGTTACACATGTTTGAAGGCCTTATCAGTGTTAGTGCATAGAGCGGACAGCAGCTTCTGCACATCACAAGATAGGAAACACATGCTAACATCACCTAATCAGTCTAAATAATCAGCTCAACTTCTGGTGAAAAGCATATGAGGAGGAAACAGTGGCACCAAAACAAATATTTAGGAACTGGATAGTGCACTGGGTAAATTTGGTGTGAATTTTTTCCACAAACACAAAATGAGATCACTTGAGTCAGACACTCATGTGTCAAACTTTCCAAAGGCTTTACCTTTGAAATGCTCATAACCACTGCCTTTTTTAAAACAAGTGTGAAGTGGTTTGCAGGACAGGGGAAATAACTACGTGCAAAAAAAATGATGCTAGGTGCTTCCTCAGATCAACACATTTCTGAGCCATGTGTGCACTGCCTGTTCCACTGAAACTTGAGAACAACAAAGTGTCTTTTTCTTCTTTTCTATTCTGTAAAACACAACAGAATATATTTTAAAAGCGTCACCTTTGTTTTAAACCCCACTGACTCAAACTGCATAGACTAAAAACAGTTTAAAATATCTTCTTTTGTCTTCTGCAGATGAAAGAAAAGTCTTACAGGTTTGGAATGACATATAGGTGAATAAAGGCTGACAGACTTTTACACATTTGAGTAAAATCCTTTGAAGTCAAGGCAGCCAATCCTGCTTCTGGAGAACTACAGTACAGCAGAGTTTAGCTACAAACCTAATCAAACACACCTGAACCAAAGTGATAAGGATTAACTACTACCTAGCAAATTAAAACTATTCTCACTATGCAAAATAGGTTTGTAGTAATTAGCTCAAAACATCTGGTATAACATGATTTGAAGAAATAATCATTACATTGTTACAAATTAAGTTTCACTTATTAAGTTCACAAATAGGTTTCTTGACCTGGAGACCCCCTTCTTATTTTAGATGTCAATACAATATAAATGAGCTGGTGACTTTAATCAGATGTGTAAAATCAAGGTGACATTCAAAATTTGGAATGGACCTTTTTCCACATTTACTGGGTTCTCAGAATTCATCATAGTTGGGTAAACTTCTATTGTAGTGATTTTTACATTCGCAAAAGAAAAACAACATTTTCGAATAATTCAAAATGTTAAAAAATCTTCACCTGTAAAAATGTACATTTTGGTATGCATTTGACTCACCGTGAGCCAAGGAGTTCAAAAGTCCACAATAGGGTTCTATGCCTTTCCCAAAAATAAATAAAATACAGAGAGATTATATTATCAACATCCACACAACAGCATTAACTAGATTTCTGATTTAACTGAATTAATGCCAAGGTAATATAACACAAAGTACAGTGTTATAATTTACATACATTTTATTACAAATGGACACAAACGTTGGTAAATTCATGACAGGGGTGTCCAATCCTGTTCCTGGGAGTTTCGCTCCAACCAACTTTAACACACTTGCCTGGAAGTTTCTAGTAATCCTGAAGACCTTGATTAGCTGGTTCAGGAGTGTTTAATTAGGTCTGGAGCTAAACTCTGCAGGTCAGTGGCCCTTCAGGGACCGGTTTGGACGTCCCAGATTTACGATTTTAATAAACATGAAAATACGTCACCACAGTCTGTGAAAAAGGATAATTTAGGGGGCCTCCAGGACTAGTTTAGTGAAAAACTACCCACTTAAAAAAAAAAAAAAAAAAAGGCAAAACATATGAGTCAACATGCACATTTTGACTCAGAAGCAACAATAATAACTCCTATTTTCAGGGTAGCATGCTTTCGAAAGTAAATATTTGCAACACCTGCAAAAGTTGTGATAAAATTATTTACTTTACAGAATCTATAACTTGATAGATTACTATTTTAATCAAAGTGAGCAACATCAAGAATCAAGGTTTACCTGTCCTCATCCCCATCAATGGGTATAGCCATTCCAAACAGGCTGTTGACAGCAGGTGTGTGAAGCTGCAAGCCCTCGGGATTCAGGGGTTTGATGGCATATTTTCCTATGAGTACAGAGCTCTGGAGCAGCCCGTCGGGCTTCCTCTGGTTCTCCATGGCCTGGGCGACGCCGGTGGGAAACTGGCTAAAGTTAGCGGGGGTCGTCTGCGCACCCAGTCCTTCTAGCGACCCGCCGTGGACTCCCTGAGTCGGATTCTGCGGCGTCTGTTTTGGCATGCTTTGGAGGGCATTAGAGGCACTGGACATAACAGCAGGCACATTTTGCACACCAGGGACCCCAGCAAGGGCGCTGACAGACACGATTACCGCCGGCTGAATGAGCGGCACTGGTGCCTGCTGTACAACAGCTGCAGCCGACACGGTCCCTAGAGCCGTGCTGATGCCTGGCTGCTGTAAAAGCCCCTGAACATGCTCCGGCTGGCTGATGGGAAGCCCTCTGCCGTCCACGGGCTGGGGAACTAATCCAAGCACGTGAGCGGTGCTTCCCGCTGCAGGAGTCATGACAGGTGACGGACCCTGGTTTAACGGGGTCACGAGCGGAAGCGAAGCCACCGAGACCGTCTGGGACTGATTCGATGGAATAACACTCTGATGAATCTGCCCAGGTTTCTGCACCTGTTTGCCTGGGAAAAATGGCTGTGGTTGAGTTGCCAAAGGCATGCTTGGAGATTTGATATGGGTATTCTGGGCTACAAGCCCTAATCCCTGCTGCGAGATGCCTAGGGTTTGTTGCTGAAGCTCCACAGGCGGGTTCGATGGTGCAGATAAGTAGCCACTATCTGTATGAGGTTCTGCTGCAGATGTTGAAGACCCAACATGCACAGCCACCGAACCTCTGGTGACTCCTAATCCGTCCCTGTCCACGCTGTGATCACTTGCGTGTTTAACGCTATCCACAGTCCGGCCAGACGAGGAAGCGTCCGTATCTCGCTCGTAAAACTCGGTGCAAGTCCACCTACCTCTTTTGAAGGGTTCACCTGTGCCATGGTCTAATTTGATGACCCTGAAACGGGAGCTGCAGCTACTTACTGTGGCAGAACTGCTAACTGATGACGTCTGGATGCTGGATGGTGCATTAGATGCAACCGGAGACTGGGAAGATACAGACCCACTGACTGAACGGACAGGTGGGTTTATATGAACCGCACTTTCGTTGCGAGAACCAGGTATGTTTGTTATGGGAGCATCTTGGGTGCTCGCCCCAGATGTTTCGGCCTCGTTATGTAGCGATTCATCCGATAAACTGACATCACACGTCTCCGGCTCGAAATCTCCAGCTTTGGACATGTCGTATATCTCGGATGAGGACATGTCCTCAGTCCTGGGCTCGTCGGGGTCATCAGTGTTGCTGTTGGCCGCCACCTGCGCAGCCTGCGTTACGCTGGTGATCTGAAAACAGCTCTTCTTTTTCGATGGCATTTTAGACATTTTGACAACTTTAAGTGTATCTCAACACGTCAAAGCGCAGCGCACATCTCCAATGTAAGCGTAGCAACGCAATGTATATGAAAATATGTCATGTAACTTTCAGTTAGCGTCACGCTAACGCAAGACTCCCTCAGAGCTCCGTCCTCATCGCGCCATTTTTAGTCCTTTAAATCCTTCAAACTGAAACTCCTGAAGCTCCAAACACAACGACAGCTTTATTCCAGCTGTGTTTAATCCTTCCGAGCCCGTGTGTTTATCCTCCGTGGCCTAAACGAAGGCCATGTCCCGGAGTGAGAGTTTCCCTCAGGCCGCCCTCGCAGTTGAAACTCTCCAGTCGCGGGACTCGCGCGACTCTGAGGCGCCGTCAGTTTTTAGCGCTCTGCCGTCTTCAAAAGCACATATCCTCCGCGAAACACATCGGATAGACATCTTGACACATCGTAACGCATGTTTGCTCTCCGTTTCTGACGTTAACGCAGTCTGTCGGGAGCAGAGTGACGGTTTGTTTGTCAGTCTGTCGGCTGTCAGTGCAGATCTCGAGCTAACGGCTCCGCTTCCTTCGCTCTACACAAGATGGCTACGTAACGCGCGCGCTGCTCTATGGATGGACTGCGCACAAGCGTACGTAACTCAGTCGGGAATAGCAACCACTACGCATTATTCGTGTTTTTTTTTTATTCGTGTTTTTTTTTAAACAAGTGCCAGGGGAAACAAATTCAGACGACATAAATACATTTTCCTAAATGTTTGTATTACTCTTTTTCTTATTAGACTCTCTGATAATGTTATTAATTATTTTAATAATGAATTGATAAAAACAGAAGTTTTATTTTCTACACCAGTGATATTATGAACCGCAAATATATTATATTATATTCATATTTTGTTTCTCTGTCTAGACACAGCTGCTTTATTTACATATCTTACATTTTAGTCTTATTTCCTGTCAAAGGGTCATTTACTTTTGTTGATTGTAGTTGGCTATCATACACGAGGGGATTTTTCAAGTGGTTTTATGTAAATTTTAAAAACCAGACTGGACACAACCAAATAGGTTTGTTGCTAGTTATGGTGGAAACAAAAATGATTTTATAATATTGAACAGGCTTGCTATGCCACCTTTAACAGACATTTTAACAGAATATTAGACATTGCAGGAAATGTATATTTATATGTATATATGTATATATATATGTGTGTGTGTGTGTGTGTGTGTGAGAGTGAGTGAGTGAGTGTGTGTGTGTGTGTGTGTGTGTGTGTGTGAGAGTGAGTGAGTGAGTGTGTGACATTAAGAGGCTATACGGTCTTTAGCGTCATTAGTGTGCCCATCTCCCACGTCGGTTGTTGCCGGGTCAGGTCCTGTTTGGAGCAAACCAGACACATGAGTGCCGTGACCAGTGTTGGGGAAAGTTACTTTTGAAAGTAATGCATTACAATATTGCGTTACTCCATAAAAAAGTAACTAATTACGTTACTTGGTTACTTTTTATGGAAAGTAATGTGTTACGTTACTTTTGCGTTACTTTTTAAATCTGGACAGGGCTTGGCTTGTTTGTTTTTAAAATAAAAAGTTCTATTTTTGGCAAATATAAAAGCCTTTTCACACCAAAAGTGAAAGGAATAAGCCTCAGGCTGAAGGGAAAGTAAATTTGCGTCCGTACAGTAGAATGCAGAAGAAGACATTTCAGCACACTTCAGCAATAAAAAAAGACACAAATGTTCGTCTAGAGTAACTTGTGCTTATTAGTATGCTTGAACTGAATCATCGAAGGTCAGAAGCAAAGACATTGGTTAATAGAACGGGATTAAATACATAAAGGATATTCGTGTTGTTTAACATTTAATTATTGCAGGTTTGCGTCATATTCTGAGTTGCATTATTTTTATTCATTTTGAGGAATACTGAATCTGTGTGTGTTTTTTGTGAGTGAGATGAATTAATGCATATTTTTCATTTTGAGGAATTCTGAATCTGTGTGTGTTTTTTGTGAGTGAGATGAATTAATGCATATTCATATTTATTGTAGAACTACAGTAACATCTGATTTCTCTCAACATGGGGACAGGAGAGCTGTCAATCAATAACTTGGAAAAAAAAGTAACTTGCGTCAGATATTCTTTTGTAAATTAAAAAGTAATGCGTTACTTTACTAGTTACTTGAAAAAAGTAATCTGATTACGTAACTCTCGTTACTTGTAATGCGTTACCCCCAACACTGGTTCTATCTTTTTTTATTATTTTTACTTAATGCATAACAATTGATTTATTTAGTGAATTTTTACCTATAGTCATGCGTTCAAGTGTTTCTAGCAAAATCATGTTACAAAACACAGTTTCTTCTTTGTTTAGCCTTTCGGTAAAAGTTCACGCAGGGGGCGAGAAGGAATGCAGCTAGTGTAGACAGAAACATCTTCGCTGGAGTTTGTTTATTAGTTTAGCTCATTATTTTAGGCATGAGTCTATTCCGATAAGTAAGGGAGGCTGTGTTTGTTTAGCTTTTGAGTTTGCCCAATCCAAACAGCAGTGGAAAGTGCACTACATACTGAGAGAAATACTTGCCAAGCTTTTTATATTAGAAAACTCTGATGCAGCTTTCTGAAAACCGGTTGATTTCGTAATAGTAGATCCTGAAAGAGATGATTAGGCCTACAGTTGTTTATAAAAACTCAAAATATCAACAAAATCGCTTCGGAATTCAGAGTGTCACTCAGAAGTTACACAACATATGATTGTTTATTGTATTTGCTTCGGTCCCGTGGTGAATGGGACACGCTTGTTATTTTAGCTGGCTGCATTTATGTGTCCAAGTACTAAAACCAGTTTGCATTTTAAAATACTTTGAGGGCTTTGAATCAATAGTCTGAAGACAGGTGCTATTTGTCATGTCCAGACATAGAGACGGTCTTTGTTTTCATGGGCTGGACGCTGCGTGAACACACTCTGCGGTTTCGTCCAGTTCATACAGCTTTTCCGAGATATAAAAAAGGCTTTGAGGGAATTTCTCTAAATTTAATATTTAAACGGGAAGTTGCTTTTTTTTTGAGAGAGAGAGAGAGTTTGTGAGAACAGTCAGGTTCATTCTGGCTTGTAGTAGCCGAAGTAGGTAAATCTGGACTTGAAGAAAATATACTCGTGTTGTAAGCTGTGTTATGGTATCAGTATCAGGATTTTGACTTCGATGTGTCAGTAGTGTAAACTTTTGAATGAAAGATTTTGAGAGGGTTTGGTTCTGTGGTTGTAAACAGTGTTGGAAGTATAACACACTGTAAGTAACGTGAGTTATAATGAGATTTTTCCAAGTAACTACACTCTAAAAAATGCTGGGTTAAATACAACCCAGTGCTCGGTAAAATAGGGACAAACCCAGCAATTGGGTTGTTTTGACCCAGCGGTTGGGTTACTACCCAGAAGGCTGGGTTAAACATTTAACCCAACCGCTGGAACAAAACAGCAAAATTGCTGGGTTTGTCCCTATTTTACCCAGCACTGGGTTGTATTTAACCCAGCATTTTTTAGAGTGTAGAAAAGTAATACATTACTTTTTAATTTACAATGAAATATCTGAGTTACTTTTTCAAATAAGTAATGCATGTTGCTTTTTTATTAACTTTTTTTTTATGGAGTAGCGCAATATTGTAATGCATTACTTTTAAAAATAACTTTTCCCAACACTGGTTGTAAACATCCCGTACATGTGCTGAAACCATGTTTTTGAGAAGAAGTCCAAGTCAAATTTCATGCCTTTCCAGGCCAAGCCAAGACTCAGATGCCTTCTGGTTAGTTTTAAAAACCTACCAAAAACGTGTACGATTTCTAGGGTTTTCTTTGTTCATTTCCTAAGTCAAGTCACAAGTTGATTCCAGGTCTCCAGTTTCATAGATTGACATAAAAACGGTGTCAGTGTAAACATAAAATTACAATAAAAGCATAACATTTGTAAGTCATATATGTACCTTTGGAAAGGTTCACTGAACTGATATGTGAGGAGACACTTGAAAAAGAGAGTGATTTATTATAGGTCAAAGAAACAAATCAATTCATTCTTGAAGTTGTTGACATTGGTTACAATTTTCTCCTCTCAGCTGGTGCATTAGCTATGCACGTCTTCTCAAGTTAGTATCTTATATGTCTTGTGTATATTGGCCTTACCTTTATTGCACAATGAAGGCTGTGCAAGACTCCTTGTGAGTAAACATGACTTATTTTTTTTATTCACAAAAACTAAATCTCTCAGTATGTGAATTTTTGCTTTTAAAATGACAATATCACATTTTTGTGATAGCGGTTGGGTAAACAGGTGAACACAATACAAATTTTAGTTGGGCAACTCTGAGTTTTGAATGTTATGTGATTAATATTTTAACTAATTTTTTTAATTCTCAAATTGTTGTTTACAACATATTTTGTTTAGAGATACTTTATGCTACTTTATTACTTCATGTAACATTTTTGCTCTTTCGTGAACTATTTTTGGGCTTCATAATTGTTTTACTTCTAACATAACCGAAAATAGCACTAATCTGTATTTATATCAATACAAACCTAATCCACAAGAGGTCGCTAGCGCAGCATAGATACAATCGGGCATAATTTTGTGCTTGTGATCATTCAAGCACGTCTTATGTAGCTTGTTAATCTAAATTGAACAAAACGTTTTGCTTTCGTTAAGTTAATATGAGTAACACAAATATGAAACATGTCAACTAGTCTACTTGGTAAATACTTGCACTGCATGTGTTCGAGCTTCTGGGAAATTACTGCATTTTGTATTTTCTGCTGTCACTTTTGTAAATATCCCGTCCAAAATATCTGCGCATTTCTGCGAGAGAGTGCTCAAGAGTTGTACTAGAAATCTCCTGAATGCTGCTTTAGTTGTATCTCTCTGCACTAGGCTACTAACAATAACATGGACACTGTTTTTGTGCCAGCCAATAATATGCAAAAATGAAATTGAGACACTTTTAATAAAACGTCTGCTGAATTAATAAGTGTAAAAATATGTATCTATCAACTGTTTTTAAAAAATATACCTAGAAATAAAATTATCTATTTTCTGGCTTCTGAAGAGGAGTCTTAATGCAGAGAAATTAATGCTGCTCAGAGGTGGAATGAATGCATTTACACAGCAATTACAACTGTCTATTGTTATACTAGAGGCTGAGAGCAGGCATAATTTAATCTGGCTTTTATGCAGCATTATGTCTTGACACCGAATTTTGAGCCGGCACAGAGCAGCCTTAACTTGGCTGTGTAAAGTCACCTTATGAATATGAATTTTTCAATGGCATTACGTGATTTGTCCACAAGAGGTCGGAAGAGGCTATGAATTATGTGGTGATAAACACCAAATCCGAACGATTTAATGTAGTCAAACTGATAAATGCATTTTATCAGGTTTCATTATGTCAGTTTTGGATGTTATATACACGTACATACAGACACATATGTGATGTTGCTACATAATTTCTTCCAAAATCCCCCTGTGATCCGACCCGACCAGATACCTTATTCCCCGACTGTGTAGCAACTCAAATTTTATCAAATGTTATTTGATCTCACCCAAAAATATCACT